GTAGAAAAGGGAGTCTATTTTGCAATCTCAGCTAAAAATATTTTAACACAACTAGAGCTTATTTTTATCGTGCTTCATTTTTCATGGCTTTTTATTCAAGCCTTATCTTTTCTTTAAATAGAGGCTTTCATCTCAGAGGATCCCAAATACTTCTTGCTGGAGTATTTTGGCAGCTTCTCACTATTGTTTCTTCACAAAATTTGAAGAAAAACCTTGTTCCCAGTGAACTAGGAAGCTGTAGCGCAACCATTACACCACCAGCTGCGCGGCCACCCTGTGTAGCACTGCGATTGCTCGGATGGCTTTGAAAATCTCTTGAGCCTTCTTCTGTGTCAGAGGGGTCACTGTATTTTTTTTTTTTTAAATTGATTACATCTGCCTTTCTTTCATCTCCAGAACTTTAAAGCCATGGTTTTAAACTTCCATTTTTAACTTTAGGCTTGATTGAAAAATGTCTAAGGGTTTTGCCTCTCCCTTTGGCTTCACTGAGGGTTTGGGGGCTTTAAAATTTCTGATAGACCACAGTAGTTTAATGTGGGAGGTTTCTCGTGTAGGTATGAAATCAGACCCCTTTACCTTGAGACTTCCATACTTAAAAATGTTCTATTTCACTGGAAGCTTGCAAGTGTTGATGTTGTGTTAGACTGCTGACTGAACATTTCAAAACAGTCTATGAAAGCCTGAGATGAGAAGAAACGAGTGAAGTGGGAGCTGAAATGGGGCAGTGCTGAGCTTTTTTAAATATTTCAAATGATTCAGTCACTCAAGCAGCAAGCCCTAGGTTTGGGATGGCACGGGTCAAGGAGGAAGCTTATCAAATTTCACAATCTATTCAAAATTCTCTTTCAGTTTGGGGTGGTGGGAGGGTGATGACCAACCCTGTGAGTTTAGATGTTCTCTCATCTGAGATGGCAAATGTGATAATGTGCTCCAGATATCTTCTGTGACAGGGCTGGGTGCCTCCCTCTGATTCTGCCTGCAGGAGGAAATTGCTTCAAGCAGCCTTTCCCCAGTCAATCATTTATCTGGTGGAGGGGGTGAGAAGGCAGCCTTGGAGAAACAGCTAAAACTCTTAGACCTCCTTTCTCCCTCCCCTTTTGTTTCTGTTAGTGATCCCTGACATTTTGAAAGCAGAGGTGATAAATAATTGCAAGGTGACTTGCAGGTTGGCTGTATTTACAAAAGGATATGTGTTTTTCTGTTGTTAGGTAGCTAGTGGTACAAAAATGAAGTCATTTCAAGGCATTAGCTTTAGCAATATCTCCCTCTCCACGATTTCTCTCCCAGAGAGCTCCATATCTCCACTAAGAAGCGAGTAATTGAAGTATCAGGACTCAGTATGGCAGAACAGAAATAGTTTGCTTGTAGCTATTGGTCTGGAAGACCTCGGCCCACAGCACTACAATCAATGCAGTGTTTCATAGGATGAGGTAAGAGGCCACAGAAGTCTTTCTTGTTTCCTTGCACCATGAGGCATGAAATCTGATTAGTCTTGTCCTCTTATAATTGTGATTTACGGTCCTAAAGCTGGCAGTATGTTCCCAAAAGACCACCTGTATCAGTGAGATACAGTGAGTGAGAGTATGCTGAAAAGGGTTTTCCCCACCCTGCAGAAACTGCTATGGCAAGAGTTCAGGATGGTTCAGGCAGAGCTCATCTGACTTAAACGTGAAATCCAGTGTCCTTAGACACGGGGTTCTGATTAAATTCTAGGTGCCCAATGAAACCATCCTTCTAAAATGCATATTACCCTATATAGGAAAATAAAGGTACTGCCATTGACTGTGACAGAGAACACAGGCAACTCAGAGAACTGCTTTTCTGAATACCTAAATTATATAACGCAAGTTCAGTGGCTGAGTTAAGTGGAATGAATCCTATGATATAGGCTTAGCTCCCTCCAGCGTGGCAGTTTGGTCTTGAAGGAAACGATCCCATGTTTCACACAAAATATATAGGATCCTGTGTTTCACACACAATAAAATATAAGTGCACACTTAATAAAGACACAAATTTTGTCTGTGAGTGTCCAGGTTTGGTAGCTGAAGAAAAAACTCTTGAATGTGAATACGTGTAGGAATGTCTGGAAAGATGGTTAAATTAGCTAGCATTTAATTGGGGTACCCGATGGTGACAACTGAAGGTCTAGGTTTTCAAATAATTTAGAAATAAGGTTGTCTGCTGAATTTTTACTGTGGTTATTCAGGCAAATTGGGTATTTACTGTGCAAAAGGACGCTGTCCATCGGTGGGAAATGGCTTGCTGACTGGAGATAACAAGGGGACCTAACCTTGTAGCCTCTGGCTGGCAAACTGTAATTAAAATGCAGGCCTGTCTTCTCTGTGGAATGCTGTTTCCAAATGCTCATATTCAAGCCACACAACCTCATTCATCAGGCATTCCCCTTGCCCGGAGAACAAGTTTCTTTCAAATTGGTAGCTCGCTATATGGTACGTTACAGAGATCTGCTGTGAAGGTCTTTTCGCTCCACGACAAAGGCAACGGAATCCACACAAACAGATTTGGGCTGAGCAGCAAGGAGGGAGGTTTTGCAATAGTGTTGGGTGCTGAAAGTCCCCAACAGCTGAGCTTTGTGGTTAAAAAGAGAAAAAGCTGAAGGGAGGGAAGAGAGAGTCTGCTTTATCTTGAGAGGAGTGCAGCTTTATTTCTCTGCTGATTCACATTGCTTTTGAGACCTGCTAATTGCAACATCTCTCAGTAAGTTACTTACAGCCGTACTGCTGGGTAGAAATTGTGATAAATGCATAAACTGTGTCTTATTGATTTTTGTTGACATTTTACATGCTTCTTATGCATTCTAAACCTCCATTCAGTAATTGTCACTATGGTACACACTCTTGGATAATGAGAGCGAAACAAGTGAATAAAGCAGTTTCTTGACCATTATAAACAATATTATTCAAGGCTCTGTATGGGGTTTCTTGCCTGCCCTCCAGTATATCTCTATTTGTGCTCATCCCCCCCATTGAATTTGCAAGACAAGAAATGAAAACCCTTGGTGTTATTTCCTCTGTTAATGATAATAGCAGAAATGTTTTTAAGAGAGATTACTTTGAAACTGATGGTAAATTTGGACCTCTTTAATTTTAGTGCACAGCAGCAGTATGGAATCTAGCAGAGGTACTGTAGTTTATTTACCCTTCTACTGCACATTTTGTCTAGATTGCCGTACAGAAAGCTGTTTTGTTACATCATTTTCTTTGACTGAAATTTGTTCCTGAATAAGGATAGTATAGCAACACATAGTGTGGCTAAACAGTAGAAAGACAACATCAGCTGTTACGTTACCTAAGAAATATGTGGAGTCACAACACTGCCATGAAGTTTGCGTAAAAGAATTCTGACTTCTGATTTTATGATACTCGCCTATCAGTCAGAGTTACACAAGACAGATTAGGTTCTCTTGTATCAAGGGCTTTTACATTAAATAGAAAAAAAAATAGCGCATGATGCAAAAATGCATTGACTTTATCTTCATGACTAGATGTAGTGCTTTTGGGTAATGATCAGGCATTGCTTTCTCTTACTGTTGTTTGATTAAAATGTGAATACAGTCTTGACTTGATAATCTTACCAGGTACACATGGAGCAAAAAAGAGAAGGTATTTTATGCCTCAAATTGATTTGCATAAACCAAACAATCTGTTGCTTGTTGGATTGCAAAATGGTTTATTTTGCCCATTGGCCACAGGGGCAACAATATTGTATTTTTGATGCCAGAATGTAGCTTTCATGCATTAGCTCTAAAACGACAATATGCTTTAGCCTCTCAGTGCTTAGATTTGCTTCATTTGGAAATCTTTTAAGTAGTAATAATAATAATGTTTTGGGGAAATTGAGTGGAACACTAAATTATTCTCTGAAACCTAAGTTCAAACTGTGCAAGGCTAAGGGAGCTGAAAATCAATGCACTTTTAAAGTCATTAGAGATCACAAGTGGAATAAGTCTGTGTTGCTTTAGCTAAGCTTTTAGTGTGCCATGGTATTATTACAAAATCAGCCTGAATCTGCATTAATTTCACAGTCTTTTTCTTTAAGATGCCCAAGGGTGCATGAAGAATAAAATGTAAATCTCAGAAGGCAGTGTTTTTATTAGTCAAAAGGGCAGTGAGTCATGCACTGGAAAAGTTGACCTGTACCATGCCCAGTGTAGGTATGACTGACAATAGTAAAAGGGTGGAAAAATAGCCCAGGCATTAGCCTACTGGCTTTTCATTATGATTTAAAAGGCTGAGGAGGGAAAAAAGTGATTTTTCAGTTATTCATGCAAATAGCTTCAGAATCATTCAAGTTGGTGGTAGCTTTCATAGATCAAAGAATTATACTTGTACCTAGGGCTTGAAGAAACAAAAATCATAAATATTTTTATTTTTAATACGTTATTTTCTTAAATGTTGAGATTCCACCTACATTAATTTTGTCTGAGTCTTTTCACACTTAATTGCAGGCTACACAGTGGAGTTTTTCTCATCCTTATTTGTATGGTTGTTCTTGGTGCATCACAGAAATATGTGACATTATGGACTGCTTTATTAAATTCCCAGTTCAGCTGACAGTGATGCCAGTCATTTATTCACTAAACACAATTTACCTGCACAAAAGCCATAGCGAACAATTGTTAATGCATGGTCTGAATAGACTAAACTATGCAATCCAAAGGCTACGTAAAAGCCTTACTTATTTCTAACCCTGTGGCTAAAGAACAAAAACAGAAAAGAAAAAAAAAAAAGGGAAAAAATATACAAAAAAACTCTTTCTCCTCACCCATCCCCACCTAATTTTTTTTCTTTCATCTATGGTCAGATTAGCAAGTCAGCACTGTCAATAAATAAACTAGAGAAGTTGTTTATTTTTATGTACTACTGAGAACAGTGTCGTCTTGTGGCCGTTCTCGTAGACTGTGTTGGTTTAACAAGCGTCCAACCCTTTTGTCTTGTTGTTTTTTGTCTTTCCTGCTCCCTGTCCCCTTGTTCCCACAGGCTGTGCGTTTGTCACATTTTCTACAAGGGCAATGGCACAGAATGCAATCAAAGCCATGCACCAGTCTCAGACCATGGAGGTACAGTACTGTATCATTTGCCCTTTCTTTGTTTTCTTTGTGCAAATGATTGCGAATGGTAAAGCCATGCTCTCCTGGATCAGATCAGACACATGACAATCACAGATTTAAACTTTTTACTGACTCACTCTACCTGTCTTTGTGAAGTTTATTTTTCTTAATGACCTGAAAGCACACAATAAGTTTGCTGTGTGGTACCCAAACACAGCTCTTGATCCTGTTTTCAGTGGCATTCAGCAGAAAATAAAAATGCTGTGAATACTGCTCCTCAGTCATACTCAGAGTATATCTGATGAGTAAATTACCTTTAATTTTAACACACACAACCCCAAAGAAAAATCTTCGTTTCTTTTAAATAGATTTTTAAGTGTTGTGGTTTGCACTGCTCTGAGAAAAAGCTCAAGAGATTTAACCTGGCCACGCTGAGTTACTAGTGCATGTGTTTTTCTGCAAATAGAATCTCTTTTTAAGTTAATATAATTTCTCCTTCTTCATGTAGCCAATAAATATGCTAATGATGACAGAGCATATCAAAGTGTGGCACTTCCTGCAGAGCACCATCGTGGCTGCCCCCTCACAAGCAACGCTCTTTATTTCCTTCCAAACTGCCTCTATGGCCTCGTATTTTATCGTGATGAGCAACACAAAACTTTAAATCTGTTCACTTAATGTGAATATAGCTGCAGGCTAACGATCCGTTCATTGGAGTGGTTATCTAATGCCACGGCTTGTCTGGCAATCTCAAAACTTTTTTCAGTCTGTGATTTTTGTCATGGTCTTTCAGAATTTTGCACAAAAAACCGCACAAGTATGAAGTCTTTACTTACTCTGGATCTTCTAGCTTATCATTGGAGAGTGCATGTTATACTGTATTATGTATACTGTATCTTCGTGTAGTGATGATTTTTCTCAGAGGTGGCATTGATGTTATGTGCACTTGTTTCTTTTTTTATTTATTTTTCCACCAGGACCTTTTGATTTATTTATTTTTCTTCTCAGTGATTTTTCTTTGCAATGCTCTAGTCTCCCAAAGCATGCTGGGTGCTAAACAATCATTATTGCGTCATGTCGTTGAGCTGCTTTGTGTAACGAGCCAAGCGGGGAGACCAGGGGCGGGAGGGTGGACAGAGGAGAAGAAGGAGAAGATAAAAATCAAGACAGTGCATGAAAATGTCACTAACTGTTTCCTGTATACTACAAGTAATGATATCAGCATTGCAAAGCTATTGTCTTTCCAAACATCACGTTTGAATTTGGTTGAGCTTCTTTTATAATTGATGTGTTTTCTTTTCAGTGCAATGCATTTTTAGACCCTGAGTATACAGTTTTAGATGAGAATCTGCCAATGAGATGAGAATAATTGAAATGATCTTTACTAGAAAGCTGCTGTTATACAGTCTATGCAGTCTGACAGTATATTGTGAAAAAACTGCCACTTTGAGTCTCTGAAATAATACTCATAGTAATTTGTCTGCCATGCACTGCTCCATTAATTCAGATCTATATGTTTTGCTGGGTTTGATTCCAAGTAAAAAAGAAATGTTTATTGGTAATACTTTGTTTTACCTATATTTTCCATGTGTTTTAATGTATTTTTTTGTCTAGCAAAATGAATTTTACACAGCTCTACTTCAGAAGATGGTAAAATTAAAGATATAATGCCTCCCAGACAAACTCTCCCATTCTTCTGTGAGATGCAGTACTCCAAATGAGGCTGCATTTTGATGTGATTCTCTTGTTGACTTTAGCTGTATAGAATACTTACTCTTGAATCAAAAAATTTCTGAGCACCTTTAGAGACATCATCAGTGAGATCCCCAAATTGACAAGGCGATTCCAAATTTTTTGCACTTTGAACAACTGGGTCTTTGTGTCAGTTGAGCTTAGGGTGAGAGTCCCTTCTTGGAGAGAAGCAGCACACCCTCCAGCTCCGTGGGTGAGGGACTCAACGGAGTCTGTACCTACTGTCTTGACAACACAAAGAAAAGTATGAAGGCAGCACCGGCTGTTGGGAAGAAAATTACACTAATTGGGGTGGAAATACCACACCATTGGATAAGGAAGGGAGATGCCCCTTGTGTATGTGCTGGGAGCTTCCTCTCAAGATAGAAAATGGAAGAGCATAGAAGAGAAGCCATGCAAAACTATTTTGCTCGCTTTTGCTAATACTTTTCTAGTAAAAAGTTAACTTGTGTTAGCTAGTGTTAAATCTTGGTTCTCAGCCTGAAACAGTGGTCCTTGGATATTTGTGTTTCATGTTTTTTTGCAAATAAAAGTGGGATTGGGGGACAAGGCATAGAACAGAATTATGTTTCAACCCAATTACTGCAGATTTTTTTTTTTCTGATTTCATTATTTTCAGTTCTTTGGCATGCATCATTGACCAGGATGAATTTTCAAAGTGGGCTAAGAAAGAACAATGGAGATTTTAATGTTCAGATGAACACGTCTCCCAGAATAATGAATTCTCTTGCTGCTCTTTCCACCCGACTTTCTGACCTGGTTAAATCAACTGATTTTAAAAACATAATTGCTGCTCTAGAGTTTTTGCTCTTCTATCTCGTTTCTGTGGATTTTTTTGTTTGTTTAAGGCATTCAAATGCAGCACCAGTAGAAGACACTAATTTGTTATCGTGGAGTAAATTTGATGCAACAATAACAACCCTTTTCTCATATAGAGCCACTTGCTACATATAATTTCAGTCTTCAGAATGTTTGCTCTCTTGAAAATGATGAAGTGATGAAATATAGAGCAGACAGTGAAGAAATGAGTTATAGATTCATAAATTGCAGAGATATTTTTTTATACAATTTACTGACATTTAAGCATTCATAAATATGATGTCAGCTGCAGTGTTGAGTGCTGAGCTGCTGAACTGAGAACTGAAATAGCCATATAATATTTCTTCCTTTGAAATTAATTTCTATTTCTTTGGAAATAGACTTGATTCTCCTGTACGTCTAGGTAGAAGGCAGTAAGTTTTGGTTGTTCTTAGCCCCGTGCTACCAAACCTCATATTAAATGGAAACAGCTTGATTTTTTTTATTAGCGAAATCAGAAAAATCTCTCTCACACCCTCCACCCCTCAGCTCCTTTTCCTTTCTTTTTTTTTTAAAAAAAAGGTTCTTGTTTTTAATATTAGTATAAAAATCACTAAAGAGAGGTAATAGTGCAACAACTTGACTCCTTCATAATCTTTATTTGATTGCTGGAGTGGTACATATCTCCTTTCTTCCTCACTGAAACATTGAAAGACATTTTTACGATGAAATGCACTGGAAAGGAGTTGGAGGTGGAATAATAAATCACAAGTGATGATTTTCAGAGATCATTGTAAAGTAACAGTATTGATGGGAGATCTTCATACAAGAGATATTATTATTGTGGTTTATTTCATCATTTTGTCTGTTGATTGTGAATATTCTTATCATTTGTCCTTGGGTGAGATTCTCCAGAGAAAAGGTACACGGCTGCTTTTGTAAATGATAAGAGGACAGGAACTTTTCTGAAGATGTTCACGGTGTTGTGAGAGCAGCCATGGGAACAGTTAGATTAAGTAGAACCCTACTTCACATCCCACGCTATACACTTTGGCTGAAGTGCTCCTTTGTTTTTTGGGCTTGAGTCACCTTTCACTACTACCATTGTGTTCAGATTGAAGTTAGACAAGAAATTAGTGTAACAAAGCATGGCGGGTGGAGGGAAGCTATTCATTGGATCCTGTGAAGTTGGAAAACAGTATGAAATAGGATTGACAGTTTCTATGACTCACAAAATGCTTGAATTAATTTGAAGAACTGAATCATTGCAGTATATAGGTTGCTCCCTTGATTTGGAAAAACGAAGCCTTGAAAGGTTAAAATTTGAAAATATTTGTTAGCAGGGAAAAAAAATAATAGAGCGAGAGCAACAGAGAAATCTTTCATATTCATGTCTCATTCTCTCGGTGACTTTGCCCAGGAATACCTAACCTGAAGTCCAAGGGAAATATCCAGCTTACCTCAAAAATCCATCTGGTTCATGACCTCCTACTTCTTCTCAAGGGTCCCTCAGACATGGACGAGGAGTAGGCTGCAGACCACATCTCTGGTTCTTTCTTGCAGCATCCCTGTGTCCTAAGGTGTCTTATAACCCTCCCATATCATGTAACAAGAGGCTCATAGAAGCAATAGAAGAAATGATGGCAATCAGGAATGGGCTGCTATCACCAGAACTAGTCACTTTTGGTCTGCATCCTGCCCTTTGTTCACATCTCAAGGGTGCTTGATACAAAGCGTGCCTGGGAGTGGACTGCAGGTGGGTGAATTGTCCTAGCAGCATCACCCTTTGTGCTCACTTCGGACTGGGGGTCCTTGATACCAAAAGGACCAGTGCGCCGCTGATGATGGGTGCTGCAGTAAATCTGTTGCTCACAGTCTATTGACATAGGGTACACAAGCCAGCTGCATCAAGCATGACTGCCCAGCCAGACTGTGGTGGCAGGGCGGTGTTGGCTGTGTGGTCCCTGGCAGCAGGGAGGTTGGACACCTCTCCCTTTGGCGATGCCTTGAAAACAGACTGCAGACAAAGCATCACGTCCATCTCATCAGCTGTGAAGCTTAATTAAAGAGGACTGGTACACTTCGCTGTCTCTGGCAGCAATTTTGATAGCTGGAAGGAAAAGAGAGCCTGAGGAAAGGTGCTTTATAAAAAGAACTGGAGAATCGGTAATTTCTCCATAGCCTCTTTTCTGAAGAAGCTGAAAATCTTAGGCCTTGCAGACCTACATATGCCAGTCACAGAGAGAGGGTGAGCGATCAGGTCATGCCATTGCTGGTGGCCCTATGGGTCACGGCTGAGCTCATGAGGCAAGGGTGGCTCGGTGTGATTTAACGCTTCTGTCTTTCCTGATCTGTCTAACCACAGGGCTGCTCTTCGCCAATCGTGGTGAAGTTTGCTGATACCCAAAAGGACAAGGAGCAGCGACGTTTGCAGCAGCAGTTGGCACAGCAGATGCAACAGCTCAATACTGCCACTTGGGGAAACCTCACAGGTCTTGGAGGACTCACACCACAGTATCTAGCTGTAAGTTCATTTCAGAGACAATGGCTGTATAATACTGTATTTATTTTAGAACCATGGTAAATCAGCTATAGTAAACTCTCTGCAATAAATTGCCAAATCCTCCACGATACATAGCATGTCTTTTTCTGTATAAAGAACTATGTATGTTTATCTCATGGTCTAAAAATAAATAACAAGGAATAGAATTTGAATAAACATTTCAAGATGTGTCAGTGCTCTCCAAGGCAAGCATTTAAATTTTACTCATGCTGCAAAGTAAAATTTGATTCAATTAGATGTCTTGTTCTTTTGAATGTTAGAGTCTGGTTTTTATAGCTGGAGTAAAATTTCAGTTCTTCCTTAGGGGAGGACGCGTAGGCAGCTAAACACTGTAGGGGTCATATCCGTATGGTGCATCCTCTAACCTAGAATGTTGGGGTTCAGTCCTCTAGTTTTCCACATTTTCATTTGGAAGTGGCTTTCACATTAATGTGTGGTCCTGTCAATGCTAAACATGCGTGGTTCATACTACCTCATACAGAATGTGAAGGTAGCAGGGGAAAGAGATTTGTTTCTCATAAATTTAAAATAGTATTTTCCTTGGTCTGTTTGTAAGAAAGAAACACTAGCTGCTGCCCCTGTTGGAGAAATCTGAAATCCACAGCCGCGTGTTTTAGGTCCTGGATGGCCGAGAGACTCCCCTGTGGCACAGCTGAGAGGGAGCCCCTGCCTTTTGTGGCTCTGGAGTTGAGAAGTCTGGTTGAGCAGCTTTTGGATAACTTGGTAGTTCCGTATGGTTCCGAGTTAGACAAATAGATGAGTCCGTATATACATACCGTGTATGAATAAATACATAATTTGTATGCGTACAATGCTTTGGTATAGTGATATAATTATAATTATAAACATTAATTTACTTAGCAATTAAAAATATATATTAGTACTGAGGTAGGATAATTAATACTGAGGTAGGCTAAATTGTTATATACAAATACCAGTCTAATGAGTATCTGTGTGCTTGATTCATAAAGATAATAAAGAAAAAACTGAATTCAAGGGGGTGGGGGAGAATGGACCGTGATTGACAGAGATGAGTTATGGTAACTACTAGACTACAGAGGGTTGTAATTAGTCACGCTATGTTGGTTTAAATAGATTTAACACCTGGTTGTTAAAAGGAATAAATTGATTAATTGTTTTAAAGCAGCAATGTTATTGAGTTTCCCTTGTGTCTCTGTGTTTCTTAATAGAGATTAGACATTAATATGGATTTACAGCATTGACTCTAGGGATGTTCATTCCAACAATAGACAGAAGCAAGAGACTATATAAATGTAAAGGAAAGCATAAATACTCCAAATGTGAAATGATAGCTCATTTTAGTTTTATCTTCATTTGTTACATTAGTGTCAGATAGATTGCTGTGTTGTGTTGTTAATTTGCAGCTTCTGCAGCAAGCAACTTCCTCCAGTAACTTGGGTGCCTTCAGCGGCATTCAGCAAATGGCCGGTAAGTTAAAAACCATTTCATTCTGCTCCAGCTATGTTTTTTATTCTTAAGCTATTGAATTCTGTACCTCTAATAATCACATTGTCTGTTAAAAAGCTTTTTTTCTTGTTAGAGGAAGGCAAAAAAAAAAGGAAGCACAAAACCCCTAAATTGCTACATTAGTTTATTTTAATCATGAACCCACTGAATCAATGAAATACAACATTGTGCTTCATCATCACAAAACAAGGGCTAAAACATTCAGAAGTCTTTATGAACACCATTTTCTCTCTCTTCTTTTTAATCCTGGTCTTTTGCTTCTTCTTGTTCTGCTTTGAATGAATCCTGAAATACTTTAACAAGTATAGATATAACACACAGTATCGCTATACCCCACAGGTATTCTTCGCTCAATCGTTATATTATGCCATTATTGCAGTGACATCAGAGACTAATGTGAACCTGCTGTCTGACAATATAAATTGGCCTACAGATGACAATATCTCTGAATTATTCTCTCTTCCTCAGACCTGCTGGCAGTGCTTGCTGGTTCTATTATGTTACACTTGCAATCTAGCATTTTTTCATCAAAAAAATGTATCTTAATATGATAAACAGAACAGAGCGGTTCAGTAACAGTTTTATACTTGGCAGTTTTGGAAGTGGCTTTGAGCTCAGAGATTGTGTTTAATGTTTTCATATTTGGTTAGATCTACAAAATGAAAGAATTGAGACACCAAGGAAAAATAATGTGATATCCATCGCATTATGTGCACCTTAGAAGTTTTCTGTTGCCTGCTTCTCTGTTAGTGTACATTCAGCTTTGTCTTCAAGAACTATGTTAAAACTAAGAATTTTAGTTAAGTAATTTCAGGATGGGGTCTCAGTCAGGGATGTGATTTATTCTCTGAAAATCATATGGTCTTGACACTAGTAGAGAGTCATTTTAAGAAATCATAGTGACACATTATTGTTACTTGAGGGATATGCCTTCTTGACTACAGATTAGATTCCTAATGCACTCATCTATGGAATAATTTGATGCTTCTGAAAAATATGTGGTTTTGTCTTACATCCATGTTATCAAGAGCAGCTTGAAGTTTACGCCTTTCTTTCCCCAAAACATGTAAGTCTTAAACCTTGATGTTCAAGGTCAAATTAGGGATATTAAATTTCTCTCTGAGCTGCAGCTCTACATGAAAGTGCCAAAGACTAAGTGCTATTTCATCATTAGGACTGAGAGTTCATGTTCCCTCCCCAGAAATCACACAGTACTGTTATGCTGTGCATCTAGTATTAAAGGTTCATTTATTATGTTTTGTGAAAGGAATAGAAAACAATCCTGTGTCTGCAGCAAGATCTTGCATTACCTGCTGCAGCCATCCTTGAATGTTTGTAAAGACCCAGAGTTTTTTAACTTAAGCTGTATACACTCATTTTACAAAAGCGAATTTAATATGTATTTCTGTATTGTGTCTTACCTATTAATATAATATTTCAAGGTGAGGAATAAAATCTAGATGCAATTGTGTAAGGTGCTAAAGAAGATCCATAATTACAGCTTGCATGTTCTTTGAACTTTGAGTTTGAGGGGTCCAACTTTTGTCTCTGAAGTCAGGGAGTGTGCTCACCACTGAATTCAGACACTAAAAATTTGACCAAAAGCTACATAAGCTATTGAAATTCCACTCTTGCTTACATGTCAGGGCTCTAGCATCTCTTTGCACTTAAGTCTCAATAAAGATCATCAGTAAATTTGCAGACGACATCAAGTTGGGCAGGAGCAGAGGGATCTGGACAGGCTGGATCAATGGGCCAAGGCCAATTGTATGAGGTTCAACAAGGCTCACTGCTGGGTCCTGTACCTGGGTCACAACAACCCCCTGCAACACTACAGGCTTGGGGAGGAGTGGCTGGAAAGCTGCCTGGTGGAAAAGGACCTGGGGGTGTTGGTTGACAGCCGGCCGAACAGGAGCCAGCAGTGTGCCCAGGTGGCCAAGCCAATGGCATCCTGGCTTGTATGAGAAAGAGTGTGGCCAGCAGGAGTAGGGGAGTGGTTGTCCCCTTGTACTCAGCACTGGTGAGGCTGCACCTTGAATACCTTGTTCAGTTTTGGGCCCCTCACTGCAAGAAAGACATTGAGGTGCTGGAACGTGTCCAGAGAAGGGCAACGGAGTTGGTGAACGTTCTACAGCACAGGTCTTATGAGGAGCGGCTGAGGGAACTGGGGTGTTTAGCCTGGATAAAAAGGAGGCTGAGGGGAGACCTCATCGCCCTCTACAGCTCCCTGAAAGGAGGTTGTAGCAAGATGTGGGTTGGTCTAATTCCCCAGGTAACAAGTGATAGGACAAGAGAAAACAGCCTCAAGTTGTGCCAGAGGAGGTTTAGATTGGATATTAGGAAAAATGTCCTCACTGAAAGGGTTGTCAAGCACTGGAACAGGCAGCCCAGGGAAGTGGTGGAGTCACCACCCCTGGAGGTATTTAAAAGACACGTCAATGTGGCACTTAGAGACGTGTTTAGTGGTGGACTTGGCAGTGTTAGGTTAACAGTGGCACTCGATGATCTTAAAGGTCTTTTCCAACCTAAACGATTCTATGATTCTAAATCACAGTTTGCTAAATTAGGTCTTCCAATATGGCCACTCCCTTGACCAAATTTGGGAACCTTTAGATCTGCAAGAATTTATTCGTACTGCTAAAGCTCATGTGTCTGTATTGAACAGAAAGGACACAGCCCTCTCCCTGCTGCACATGTGAAGAAATATTTGCCATGCATTCCTCAGTGATATTATTTCAAAGCAATTTTCTTTGCTGTCAGAGAAAAGACGGTGATCTTCAGTGTGAAGTTCTAAATTCTCTTTCCCTAATATCATGCCTCAGTCTACTTAAAGTAGTTTTTATGCAGCAAAAGCAAGGATTCTTTGATTTTGTTGAAAGGAATGGGGGGTTTTAGGCATTACTGGTTGAAGAGAATTGGAGTTTGGTTGTTTGGGAGCTGGGGATCCAATCCAAAGAAAAATAGGGATTTTTCTCAAGAACTCACTAACATACAGACATTAAACTCACAGAGCACCAGCTCCAAAAGCAAATGCTGTTCTTGCTGTAGCGTCCCACTGGCGCTACTGTATGTTCAGTATTGCCCTTGCCTTATGTTCATAAACCACGTGTGAAGTCCAAGCACATCATGAAACTGGCTCACCTAAAATTTGTGAAATATTAAAATTTGAGAGACAAAAAGTAGGAATTTGTCATCTAGCTTTCCAAGCTTTAAAGTCCAACACTTGGTTCCTCAGTTTAGGTTTTCTTATTTTTATTGAAAAATTAGATTTTCATGAATTTATTTTATTTCAGAAGCCAAGCCAAAGAAAGCAGTGTAATATGTCTTGACTGGTCATAAAGTTGGGAGAGTCGGCAGTGCTGCCTTTGGTATTATAGTAATGCCCTGGTCTTGATTACAGGAGCTAACCCTACCTTGCCAACCTCTGTTTCACTGTCCTTTGTAAAAGTACATATAATCATCAAGTGTGTATTTTATAGTGAGTACTTCCTCACTTTTCCTCCCCTCCTCTAATATCTGCTAATGCTAATTTAAAGACAGTGTTTTCTCTCACATATCTCTCAAGCTTCAGTGTCTAGCCTGTCCTTTGTCTTTGGGGAAGGCTGATAATATAGATGAATCATATTATGGGATTTGATTAATGCTACATTAAGCATTATCAACCTTTCAAGCAAAAAAGATTCCTCCTTCAAATATATAAAAATTGCATTGAAAAGCTTAGTTCAAAGAAGATTGGTGTCATTTGAACATTTGCGTTGAATTTGGCTGGCACTGGATCAGGTCCTAAAAGCTGCAGTTATTTAAGCCAACCTGCCTGTTTAAGAATGTGGAAAGTACTATACTGACAGTGTAAACAAGGAGGTTTTATATTACATATGGTGATTGTAGAAAATTGAAAAGTTCAAAAATTGACAATCTATGAAGATTTTCTCTTGTCCATTAATGTAAAATGTTTTGGCAGGAATAAATATTTGCTCATACAGAAATATTTCTATATGTATGACCATTCAGGATATATAAACATGTACAGTACTCATAAAAGACACAGAGGCACTCTCTTAATTCCATTGAACAGACAGTGTATTTTGCTTTCTGAAGTCATACAGGAGAAGAAACCATGCTTTTGTTTCTTCTTGATATGGCTTTCAGATCCCTAAACCCTCTACAGCTGGGACTTTTTATATTTTTTCCAATATATGGGATTTTTCCAGTCCTTTCCAAACTCTCTTACAGTTTGGTTGCATTTTGGGTTGAACTTCTGGCCCTTTCTGAGCCCTGCTCAATCCATTTCACCCTTCTTCTGTTACCCAAGCCAGATTTCCTCCTGTTGCAGTCTGTAGGAGCAGATGGGTGAGGGAAACTCTGCGAGGTTCTGCTGTCTGAATATTTTCCTCTAATTGTTGGATTGGCTCAGTAGATCTGGAGGGACCAGTTGGAACCCAGGACCATCTGCACGAAAGCTCTATACTTTTGCATTGGCCCAAGGATCCTTTGTATCCTCTGACTCTTTGATGGCTTCATTCCAGCAGCCGTACTGAAGAAGGGTTTCTCCTGCTATGACCTCTTTAGGGATATCATATTAAAAGTAAAGGTCACTGAGAAACTGTTTCCAGCTCAAGGGAGATAGCTGTTTCTTAAAGATAACTACCAGTTTTGAAAACGTTGACCTCAGGGACCAAAAATATTGAGCTTTTGTAACACTAATTCCATTGAAAGTCTTACTTAAATTAACACACACAATTAGCTGCTTTTTTTTTTTTTTTTTTTTTTTTCTAATAAATTAAACAACTCTGTTTAGCATTTTTTGGAGAGGCAGAGTTTGAAGTAAGTGAGCCTGTTGTCAATCCGCACGTCACTCGTTTTCAGGAGAAGGAAAGGCACCTTGAGAGGAAAACCAATGCTCAGCAGTTTATGAGATGTGCTTATTCAAGTGGTAAAAGTGCATGATGTGGACGTTTGGC